ATGTTTCTAGTAACAGAAAGCATCTCGACATTACTATTACATATTCTGGGCTTGATGTTTTTCCCTTTTCCATCGCGAGCAGAGAAAGTAATCTCGCTATCTTTCGATTTGACTTTACGACCCGGTGCCGCAGTGTATATCCTTAAACTTGGTTGTTTCCAAGATTAGTCGAGAAGTCATATGGTTCCGCTCGACAGATTATAATCAATTTGAAAAAAAGGATACAATATGGGTGTCCTTCTAAAAGATTTTGCATAGAGTACTGGTGTCATGGGTAGGTTTTCCACATCGGAATAGCACCAATAACATAAATTATATTATGTATGGTAGAAAAGAAACAGTAAATTTTGGGGAATTGTGAAATCTAATATTTAAAACTACTATTCTATACTGCATTGTATTTTTATGATAAACGCTAGAGAAGAAAAGACGTCGGTCGGCGCTCGTTAGTAAAACAGATCGGGCGCATCTCTGAATGAGTAAACCACTCATCTAAAATATCCTAGGACATTAATAGCCTATAGGACATGCTGCAAATACCTTAAATTTACTTGCGTGCTACTAGCATGCGCCTTTAGTAGTTTGGCTCTAACTAACTCGACCGAACGGTTAAGAGTGTTATTTGGATAACAAGCTTATCGTCAAGGGCAGCCCATAGTTAATTTAAAAGAAAAAGTTGAAAAAACCGAAGGAATATTACGCGATTGAGATGAAATATTATTCAGCTAGCTGAAAAACTAACATTGCTTTTCCTTGCGACCTTCTAGAAGAGAATATCTTCTCTACATCGCGCATTCGTTACACGCGTTATTATTGATACACGATTGGTTTGGGACCCATAATCTTGTGCTCAGTTGCTGTTACCCGTGTACAGAGATGTACCGAGCGTACATATCAGAGATGTACGCAAATACGCCAGGCTATATTTTCCGAGTCCGCCTTCTAGACGGATACCTTGTGGGCCACCTAGCTAAGGCCTTAGTTCGTTAATTTCGAGCTGATAGCACCCTTTAAGCTTCGTTTTGTCATAAAGCGACACTATCAATCGAACGCGGATGGGACAAATCGTATTAGAACTTCGATCGCGTTCCATTCGGCAGCTGAGCTTCAGTGGCACCGTGATCTCCTGGACTACTAACTGGTCGTTGAGGAAGATTTATGATTACTTCGCCTTTTTCGCCAACAGGAAGACTTCGACCAGGAACACTGATGCTTCGCGTCAGTTATGGTGGGCCATGCCAAAGATACATTGCACCAATAGCATAAGTTTCACTATTTACCAGTAGCAACCCCTGATGACCTAATTGCGCGTGTCAAGTTGGACAGCTATACGTAACCGTAACGACGTGCTTTTACCATAAGTTCATAGGCCGACGTAAGTAACAGTGCAAGTTGTACGTAGTCCAACTAGACTAGGCACGTAACTAGCGGACAACGACTGCTGGGTGCTAAATACTGGCTGAAAAATTCGTAGAAAGTAACAATGGAGACAAGGCACCGTGTGTCTGCCCTTCGCAATTTTATAAAAAAAGAAAGCGGCGCTTTTGGGTGACATTGTCTGACAGTGTCATTAGTACTCCGAGCCACTATAGATATAAGAGAAATAGCTCTTATATACAGAAATGTGTACTTCAAAGTGTGCTGTGTTGGTCGGCGGAACGAGGATAAGTACCGCCAGTGATGTACCTGTAAGTGTCGCACTCCAAGGACCGATCGCTATCAGTAAACCATTCGTGAGTCTTAGACCCTCTTGATAAATTAGAGATATATTGCCATAATCTAAAAGCATAAAAGTGCCTAAATGTGTCCTACCGAATTAGCTCGTTTCGTGATGAGTTTAACCGTTGTAATCTGACAAGCTTTTTGATAAACATTACGTACTTATGGTAATAAACACATACTGTTATTTTTGTTTGTTTATTATGGTAATAACTTAAAAATGGTAGGGGTTGCTTTCCCTATCGTATCCTGTTGGATGTCGAAAAGCTTTTTTTGTTTTGCCCCTGGACTTAGCACACTGTTGCATCGTGCCGTTATTTGTGTATTCATCACTGACAAACAAGTGTTGTCTAAGCTAAGATTAATCAGCATGAAATACATCGCAAAAACGTTGATATTTTTATAGCAGAAGGATATTTTTAGAAGTTTACGGAACTGATTTGAGAAGTTACAAAGCAGCCTTTTACATACCGTGCACTTTTAGGACCATATGGGGTATGGGGTATTTAGCTTGCTCGGAAAGAGGTGGCGTTCTTTTCGAACGTTTGTTTTTTTCTCTACATTTGTTTCATCAGACCCAATGCGCATCCCTTTACGAACGTTGCCATGGTAACTATGAACGTACGGCCATGATTAATTCAAATTTCAGTGTTGGCAAACGCCATGTTGTTTCTATGTCGTTTTACATGTCCATTAAAGATACATGCAAACACGATCAGTGTAATGCTTAACAACATTAGGAATTACTCGTCTTCAACAATTCAACATAGGCTATCATCGGGATATCATGAATTCAGGCTCATGACTAATCTAGAATTCAATTTCAGTATACCTTCCCGTCGTTTCATAGGATTACTTAACTTTAGCACTTGCCGATTACGACCTATATACCGATAAACCTTAAAAGTCGAAACCGATATCATTATTAGATGCAACTGACTGCCAGTGCTATATTTCGTAAGGATAGATAATTTCGAAACGGTTACTGTGTAGTAATAACGTTACTGTATTGCAAAAGAAGCATATAAGACCGTCACTTGCGTCCCTCCGTCCGTTCTTCCGTTACTCAACGGTTTAACTTTGTATACATCTTGACGACTACCAGGAACAATTTGACAAAGTAAATGTTTCGATTTACATTTCCAATAGTACAGATATACGGTGTCACATATATGTCGACGTGGTAACTTCCAGTGTTTGTTATATCGAAAAGGGTAAAATTTAAGAAAGTTAATCCAATATTGTTTATTGTGCATCCCTTGATTATTATCCAATGCTAACACAATAGGCATTACTACGCACTAAAATTGCCAATATTATGGCCAAGGTCTTACATATATAGGTTCAGCTTTAGACATTGATATCATCAAAATAAGATATATTTATTGTGAATTATAAAATAGGATTTTTTTAGGGTATCTCACGTATTGGCCTGGACAATGCGCCTTAAACTTCGATACGAGCGAATATCATTGGTACCCGTCTCTAATGAACCAGCAAACATTCAGCTTTCTTCATAGAAAGCTATGCGATTGGAAACTGGACGACTGGAAAATGGAAATCATTGGATATACAACCTTCTTAACTTGTTAATAATGCACTGTTTTGTAAATAACCAGGAAAATATTGATATTTCTTTTTTAAAAGAATTGCAACAATCGTGTGTCGATATTCAGCCGCTGATGGCACTAACGTAAACAGATTATTTTTAGGTAGGTTTACGCAGTTAGCCTAGGCCTTACGCAAACGCAGATGCTGGTTTGGTAGGAATGTAAACATTTGTTTCTCATGCAGCTCATCCTGATATACCGTCCAAAGTACTTGAGCAGGTTTCAGGTGCCCTCCGCAATATTTTAAAACTGTGAAAAGTATCCAAAGAACGTTCATTTTAGACCCCGTATGATTTGTTTAAAGAGAATTAAAACAGGACTTTATAAGAAGCATAAAACGGATTGAGATTTGTCCACCTTCAAAGTATTGAATTATTATACATTCGAGAGTTTACAGAGAGAATGGTATTTGAATCTGAAAGTCTGCCATTTTAAGAGAAAAAATTTGAGTACAGGTCGATTTCAACGGGTGTTTGGGGCATGCGACGGCTTTCGGTCGAGCCTGTTCAGATAAGCTGCATTGTTTTACAAAAGAACGCAAATTTTTTACTACGAACTTGATAAACGTCAATGGACGGGTACCATACGCACTTGACACTACTTGCCACGAATTCAAATCGTTGCTTGATAGAACAAAGTACGTGAAAAGTACTATTATTTGCAGGTACACGCCGGATTACGGCACTCGCATCTAGAAACGCAACGTAGGGCATGGAAATTATGTGATAGAAACATAACCTGACGCCTGAAAAGTGCCTATGCAGGTGATGGGGCATACGCGTACGATTGAGATGCCCTCACAGAGCTAGCCATTAATTTGACTTATGCCCCCCGTGGAGGGCCGTATTGACAGGTGATGCCATACCGTTAACCATTTTAAAAAGTTAACGATCTTTACGTTCTATAATAGCCATCACGGCACCCATCTAATAGTGGCTGGCTCGTTCTTGTCTTACGCTTTTTTGTCTGTCACTGGCTAAGCAGCCCGCGGTTTACGTAGCTGTACAATGCGCGTACTCAATGGGTGCATTTTTTTCCAACATGGCTATCTCTATTGAATGATGTTATCGAGCTTTGCTACTTGTTATTGAACTTTGTTTTTTCTAATTCGGGCATTTTGATCCGATTCGAGTTAGGCCAGTTGATATTACAATATTTAAAGGCCAAGTAATTTTCCATTTAAGGCAAAGGTGATCAAACTGTCTAATCATCACAGAAAACTATTGTTAATAATAGGGGGCTATTTCATAAGGGCTCTTGCTTTAGTTCCTCGATTTCTATGCACTGAAATGTATTTGCCAGACTAATTTTGTTTCTCGTATTTGAGAGATGTATACAAATTGGTAATTTTGAGTGACATTTAAATTATTAACGCTACCCATCTTAGCCCAGTTGTAAGCACCTGGTTTTGCGTTTACGTGTAAAAACGAACAGACAACGATGCCAGACGACAGGCATCTTCTAGTTAAGATAACCTTTAGTTTATACTACGTCGCCTAAAATCCTCGATCTACATTCGAGTTCGTAGTGCCTGCTAGCCGTGATGCTCGATAAACCTTATACACGCTTTGTCGCCTTTAGTCCCAATACGAGGGTAAATTGAATATAGTATCGATAGAGGAACGTTGTCCTCAACACAAACTAACTAATCGCCATTTTTTTCCTGTGTAGGTTATACGGAAATACCCTCCAGATCTGGTTCCAGAGGCTACAACGACAATACGATATTTACCTAATTCAGGAGCTTTCCATTCGGAACGACTTATCACATCGTCACCAAGAGAGGTCCAACTGTAACTATTCTCAGTAGACCACTCTATATTTTGACCGTATGGCATATATAATAGTACTAGCAGAAGTCATAATATGCTATTTCAAGTACGGCAGTACGTACTCATAGCTGCCTGCCTAACTGGCTTTCTCAACACGAGTTGCTCCTCTGATCTTCATATAATCATCACGTATAGAAACGCCAATGGAAGTACACATTCGTAGAGCACATCTGTCTGTACTATGATTTACGGTCGCTTTGTTGCGTTGATGATCTATGATGAATAGCCTTGTATAGATAAGTACTATAACTATAGTTACAATGAATGCTATATACCATTAGCGACAGTTATCAGCTGCATGATGCTCACACACCTACGGCTATCTTCGAGAATAAGATCATTGTATCAGAGACGCATATGATAGCCGTTGAAGCATGCGCGAAATCAAGGAACTTGAGTGTTAGAACTTGTTGTAAATACGCTCTACTTTCTATTTTGTGAAAAAAAAAAAACAAAAAAAAAATTCCAATATTTTAGGTTTATCGTTTCATCTACCGCGCACGCCCCGGACTTAGTGTACATATTTAAGAAGCAACTATTTCTTTGCGTCCCGAAAAAAGTTGATCCGGGGAACCATCGAGTCGTTAGAGTAACAAATACTAATGCAACTGTCTATAATATCTACGACGAGGGAACATGATGAAAAATTTATTTGAATTTCTTTTTGTTTAGAACAATTTAGAAGTCCTATAGAGGATTAGGTTGAAATTTTCGCTTAGAACCCTAGTCTAGTCTCAGTGTGTTGGCAACGTCGCATTTGTTTCCTGCAGTTTGCAAATTATAGAACGCACTCTAAAGCGGCCGCGTATTAGATTCAGAGAAAAATTCTATTAAAAAGAATAAATGTAAATAAAGTGAATTATGAAGATTCGGGTTTCCTCCCCGGAACCTTTTTCTTAAAGACAAGTTCCCTTACTATTTTATTAAGTTGATTAGTTATTGAAGAAAACAAATAATGACAATGATCGGAGTTAACAGTGCTGCGGCACAACATTTGTACCTGCTGTGAATACTTGAAAAAAATTACAAAATAGTTCATCACTTAGGTAATGTATTAGACCAGAGCTAACTTCAAAGTACACTTACAAACAGCGACGGATGAAAGGTACAAAAGCCGGCTAAAGACAGAAATAACGGAAGGAAATCGCGCGAATATATATATATATACTGTGCTAAAAAAGGTATTGACAAAATGCTAGCCTTTGGTGTCGTATCATAGTTAGGTTGGCGATGCGTGCGTGCGTGCGTGCGTGCGTGTTATTTATGTGCATTGCAATTCGATGGCATTTTAGCTATAATTTCTGATTCATTCAGATCGTTATGTGCCTATATTGCAGAAGACTTTTCCTGATATCAATCGCCTTTTAGTTGACGCTAAATAGACAAATGCCACCATCGATTTTGAGAATCGAAGAGTCACCGTCGGACGAACTTTCCTAAAGGGTTAGATATCTCGTACGAGTTATGTTCGGCTATGTTAAAAGATCTTTTAGAGGGGCGACATTTCCGAACATCTCGAGGCCAGTTTCCCTAGGGGCTTCCAGAGGGGCTAGAAGAAAAAAGCTTTGAAATGCTTGAGACTAGGGCTAACGTCTACTCGTATAATTAAGTTTGAAAACTTTTTGTCAACGAATGAAAAGGTAGCGGAGAAGTGAAAGTATGTTGAACCTGGTGGAAGCGGACAATAATACTGTCCAACAAACCAGTGTGTATTAAGTTTAATTTTAAACAAAGCGTTGCTTATTCTATTATATTGCAGTTTGTCCCGTGTTGGTTTGTCAAGACAGTTAGCTAGAATTTTAATCGTCAGTTATTATGCACTGATATGACGCCTAAGCATACTAATGAGAAAAACGATAGGCTGAGTAAATGTTTTAAGTTTCACATCCGATGCGTCTGCTTTCACAACTAAATCACCTCTTCAATCACAGAAACAATGGAATAAATAAATAAATGTGTACAGCTCTATGTATGGTACTGTCGTTGAAAATAATTAACAAGTATAGGGATTCGTTCGTACATAGATTGAAAAATCCTGGACGAGAGCTCGTATTGTGGCATTAATGTTTTATAAATGCATGCAAAATTTTCCTTTGTGCATTTTTCAACCAATCGTTTTTGAATTCAAATAAAATTTTGATCCGGAATATTTTTTTCGTAGTGCCGTGACAACAGGACACAATATATTAAGTACGCTTGGTCAAATATCGAGTTCGGAGTCGTAGCCATCGGATATTAAGCGTTTAGTACCATCAAATTTAAATACTTATAAAATGTTTGTGTGGGTCACATCAACCCCCGAGTAAACAGCATTATTTTACTGGTATTACGGCTTAAAAATCGTTTCCGTACAAAGTATAAAAATTCATGCATTGGTATCGAACATATATTTTAGATAAATTGGTCTATTGAACCCCACCAGGTTCTGGTGTTACTAGTAATTACGGAAGACTATTCGTATTTTCTATTAGGAAATTTAGGGACGGATTATGTCCTTTCGTAGTAACAATAATAACAATAACAATATATTACGGATAATACTAAACGCCATACCAAATCTAGCACTGACATTTTTCGTATACAACAACAATGGCATATATAAATATATATATATATATGTATATAATCTATAATATATATACATATATATATAAATATATATATATATATATATTATAGATTATATACATTAGTATATATATATATATATATATATACAGCCGATAATTATTTCAGGAACTGTTTTTCTTCTAATAATGCAAATACATTTACATTGTGCAGCATCCATAGATTACTTAGCTTTTCGTTAGGAAAAATGGTAGATCAGGCTTTTTAATTTAACTCTATTGGTAATAACTTAGTGGGACTTTTATAATTCGTTTCATTAATCGATCGTTTTTTTACTTCGGTCTAATTATTACTCTCTATGCGATTTAGTTATGTTATGTTATATCTGATTTTTAACTCTTGAAAAAATGCGATGATGCATATCTTCAATTAAAGATCTTCTTCAACTACAAAGTAAACGGGTCACGGAATACTTATAGATAAACGTGTATTTAGTTAAGATTAAAAATCATACGATAAATATATTGATGGCATATTCAGTGGTAATACGCAATCAATTATCGGCTCCTATCAAAAATAGGATTTTCATTATTAACGGACGATTTTTTGCACTTCGCGATGAAATATAGCCTCTTGAATAAATTCTTTTTTTTTTTATAGATTTGCTTACCATTTATTTTACATTATCTTCGTATAGTATTTACAACTTAAGGAAGAATAATTTATCATGATGATGATGATCAAAATATTGTCTTCGCCAGGCGTCTTCAGTTAAGTAACCTCCGAGGCAATGACGAATCAAATTAGGTTCACCTTTCGTGCGTCAACATAGAGAGATTATTAATAAATTTGCAATACGGCAGCAGTGTGGATAATGATAAATATTCTAGATATAATAGATAGACAAATATAGTAGATATTACAAACAGCATACAAACAGCGTTGTTTGATTTATCTACATCGAAGTTCACAGCAACTTTCCATGAAAACATATAATTCAGTCTCGTACTCGAGCCACCTCTTACGCGGTGATTGTAGCGGAAGGACGTTACGCGCAGACTGAAGAGTAAACCAGTTCTACCCACACCACGTATTAGAACAACTTTACGAAGAAACCGATCTCATATTTTACCAGTAATGTCCATATGTTTTCTGCTATAGAATTTTGAAACTAGACCTTTATGAAAACTATTTTTTTTAAACGGGAAATTTCTCAAGGCGTCTAAAAATCAGATCGGCGGTAACTGACAGCCGGTCGAATTATGTGCTTAACATAAAAATCAAAATTGGGCGTGATGGTAATTTTATCAAGCTTAGTGCAGAAGTGGTGACCTCATTTGAAACGTACTTCCTAGTCTGTTTGTAAGAACATATAGCCATACATACTATTGGCCGTAAACAATTTAAATTAGTTAATAGTTTACGCATTGGTAAGTTACCCATTATAGGATCGTCGACTTTGAGCTTCTTACGCGAAGTACATTTGTATCGATCCACTCCCTACTTCGGGAGTACGCAGAAATAATACTTCCTGCGCGTGCTGCTTGAAACAGCCACTTTCTGACGTTTCAAGTGCTTCTGATGGGAATAAAACAGTTCGCTAGTTGAATGCTTTCGTGTGGACAATTGGATATATCTACACAAATAAGCGGTACCACAGTCGAGATGCCCTTACAGCATAAAAAGAGCCGCCGTTTTGGCCTTAGTGGCAAAGCCAGTAGACCTTATACCAGGACTGGTGCCACAAAACGAGATTAATATATAGTTACTAAGTTTTTCACGGTAGACGCGATCAATATGGTTACTATTTGCCGTAATCATTCAGATGATGATGATGATTCGAAAATAATTAAGTGCTTCACACAAATGTGTCACAAACATCCGTGAAAATTATCAGCTGACTGCTGAACGGTGTAATCGGGTTTGTGTGTGTTCCTCAGTCTATGCGCGTTTTACGAAGCTCCCTTGAATAGCCCTACGTGTGCTAGGCACCAACGTCTTAACAATGCTGCGAGAACATTCACATACCTCTTCCTCGAATTAGAAAAGTGAATATCAATGCTGAGACTTACGTCCTGTTGATTGAACGTAATCAACCCACGGACACGCACTCTGACCATTCCGGTTACACCTTATACGACTGGTCGGCGGAAATCACATCAGCCCAGGCGTAAAATCAATAGAACCAACAACGAATACGAGCCAAATGTGCAGGTATTCCATTATGCAGGTGATACACAGCTTATAGTCGTTGGAGTAGCCATAAATACTCAAAAATGCTGCAGTCCCAATGGATCGCGGCTACGTTTGGGTGAGTTGTAACAAGAATACGCGAAGCAACGTTTATGCACGCTGTCTGAAGTACTACAAACAAATACATGTCACTTGTCAGATTAGCGGTGAGGCCAATACGACAGTCGATTTAGCGGGAACTGATACGAGCATCAGATTGATCAGCAGAATAATTTACAAAATTTTCGCATATCATTGTATAATGTTCGCACATAATTAATGGATCTCGTTATGTTCCTATTTTATCAAGCGACGGAGTTAGACGCGCAAATATCAAACTTACATGCGAAACAGACGATATTTGGCGTCGGTAACGGTAGCTGACTGTGAAGTACGAATATCTCCTAAAGACCCTCAGACGCCCCCAATCCCTCCTCCTTCACGAACAACAGACAATTTCGTGTACGAAGCAGAAAAGAGGTTCTATAGCACCTATGAACCAGTTACGGTATTTTTACTGGGTAGTTATTATAAACGAGCGCAATTTGAAAAGGACAGATGTGTCAGCAAGCTTTTTTCGGAAACGCCAACCCCCTCGCGTCCCAGATCAAAAATATGTGCGCTTGTCGTTGCCCCTTCGGTCAGGACTGCGAAACAGTAAACGATATTTTTGTGAAAAGAGCGGTTCAAGACAATGCAAAATTCTCGATTCTTCTATTTCCATGTCAGACTGCCCGATTATCGAGAATGGATGATACCGTCTGTCCTAATAGTCAAGGGTTTTGCGAAGCACGCTTTCGCAGCATTGATGCCTGGAGGGCCAGCTCCAGTCAGTTGCCGCAGCCGCCCGTAAGGGCCATCATGGAACTTGCAACGAGACAGGACCTAGAGGAGGCGCTAAGAATTGCACAGTAGAACTGTCGGGGGACCGCAACTCTAACGTTCCTTTCGCCGGAAGCCCTGAGCAATATATTTTCGTAATAACGGATACTTAGGAAACTAGCCCTTTTAATTTACAGCGCTTCTATTCTGCGCACTGCCTCGTAATGAAGAGCAACGGACCAGGCCACCCTAGTAGAAGCATCTCTGTTTTCTACAATCGCAAGATAAGCATTCTCGCGACGTGCCTAGTAAAGAATGATACGAATGGTGTCACTGACCAGAAAGTAAGTCTCGTAGCGGCCTATGTTCGGATGGTTGATTCGAAATCAACGTACGTACCGGTGGGGAAACTCGTCGGTGGAATGGAGGCACTCTCTTCCCATTCTGCTTTTTCTTTGGTTATGGCCAGTGACTTCAATTCCTGCTTTTACCAGCCAAACTCGAGCAGGACTACAGCCCTTCGAGACAAAGGCGCGGATCTTCGTTGCTAAGCAGTCAATCCCACCTTGACATTGACCTCCTTAGAACATGTAGGGGGTCTGGTTAACGATATATTTGCAGGGAATGTAACCAGGAATCAAGTAAATTTTCTGGGTAAAAATCATTCTCGGTCAGAGGATGCAAGCATCCGTGCTCATCTAGCGCCAGCAATAGACTTCACTGTTCAGATTGCATCTTAACGCATTATCAAACGCCAAGCTCCGTCACAACGTTTAGATGTAGACAAATTCCTGGAAAGCTCTTACGAAGCTTACGTAGTGTACCTTACGTAGTGAATGTTGAACTCAATAAGCAGCACCTGATTGACATTCTCTAGTCTAAGGTACAACCTTTCATTTCCCCGGAAGCATAGGCCGTGATTCAACTGTACTTGCAGCCTTGGCAAGGGTGCCCAGATCGTTTTCAGGATTATGGTTAAAATGCAGCCCAAGTTCTTACTGTTTAGTCTCCTTTCCTATGACTATGTATCGAAAAACATGTGTTTCTTAAGGGGAACAATACTTTGAAGGGCTGGAGATTAGCTTGACCGCTTATGCAGAGCGTACCATACAAACGGCTAATGCACCACGAGAGCTCACCAGGTCGTTCGATCACCTCCCTAACCCTCGTAAATCATTTTTCAGAGATTTTTGCGTCAAAGTATACAATACCACATGCTTTGCCCCTTTTTCGCCACAACATGGAAAAAGGGGACCCCAATTCAATGCGATGTTCTTCAACGAGACCTCACAGTGCAGGGGTAAATGGACGATATTGGTAGATTACTCAACAAGAGCGCTTCCGCTCAAGATAAGGTTTGCAACGGGCATCTCAAATGTACCGTTGTCCTGGCATTA